ACTGCCAGCAGCCTTCACCTGTAAACACTTACTGCCAAAGTAGCTTTTGTTTTGTTTTGTTTTTGCTCCTAACTTTATTGAAAAAAAATCATACACAAGAGAAGTCAAGGAAACAAACTGACTGATAGCAGTCTCCATTACAGAAAACGTGAAGCAAATCCGTTTACATTTGAACAGAAAAAATTTCAGATTTAAAAATGAACAAGAGCAAAACAACAGAAACATTTTGGCACAAGCAGTTTTCTTATTCACATCTGAGATGTGCTTGAGTGACTTAAAATATAGGGAGAAGTAATTCAAGAAAATGGTAAACAGAGAACTGCTTTTCCAATTACATGAATGAATAAATTATTTACATAGAATATTTACAAAATTATAACATCAGATATTTTAGAATCTGGATTGTCCATGTGGTAAAGAACATCCTTAAATGTGAAGGAAGGTGGCCTACATTGTATAGATTTTAAGTCAAATCTAGCTTTGGATATCTGCCCAAAATACAGTCACATGCTGATAATTGAAAAATAGATTATGCATTGTTTGTAGATCCTGACGAATTTGGTTTTAAGCATCACACTGCTTTGCACGGGTAGCAGCTGAAAGTGAATCACCTTGTTTTTCAGTTTTTAAAACATTTGGGTAACTTCACTAAGGTTGTTCACACATTTTTGGACAAGGACCATTTTGCAGAATTTGCATGAAGATCACAGTTATAGCTAGTTTAAAAGACAAAACAAGCAGTAAAATACTTACCAGACTGACCGACCCCCCTGTAATGGGTCGCATTAGGGATACACATTTAGTCAGGGAATGTGGGTATGGACCCCATTTCCGCATTCCTGTGGCAACCTGCCCCCCAATTTTATTTGCACCTTAAACTCTTCCACTGACGACATTCCACGCAAACACACACTTAGGGCCTTGGGAGTGAGCGCATTCAATGGCAGTTGGCAGGGGGATTTCTCAGCCTCATCCCAGGTGCCGGTGCCCACTTCCAATTTTAAACTGTACTTAGACACTGAGGGTTGTCGGTGCAAGTGGGGTGGTGTGGTGGCATCAGCTGGCATAGGCCAGACAATGCCCGTACTGCCTGCTCACCACAGCCATGGAATACACCTCATCAACACAAAACAACACTATATTGGAGCAGGCGGAGGGAGACTAGGGGTCTTAGCACACCTCTGTTGTTGCTTGGCTTCCTGGGGCTGGAGGCTAGGAGGGAGATCTGGCCGTCCGTTTGGGATCTGGGGTGGTGGGTTGTTGTGCTCAGCGTTGGGCGGGGGAGCCTGCTCATCAGCACCCCAGCAGAAAGGGTCGAACTCTGGGAACCGGTAATGGTTGTAACCCATGTGCAGCAGTACCGGGACCAGAGTAAATAGGGTGTGTATGGGGAGCATGAGTGGGTGTCCGGCATGCATTTTTGTAAGTCTTTGGTTGTATGTGTATGTGTGAGCATGAGGGAGGGAGTGTGTGACTGTGTTTGTGTATGACTGTATATGTCAGGAGGGGCCTTTGACTCCTCTCTTCTACTGGGACTTCTTTTGATGATATAGATCTTCGTCTCCCCTCCCCCTGCCACACCTGGTGTGGAGTGCGGTGCCTTGGTCTGGCTGAGTGTTTGTGGTTCCCGGGCCAGGGGGATTAAGATTTTTGGCGTCTGCCTGATCAATCCCGGTGGCTGCCTGGTGGGGTCTAGGTCCCTGGGCTCTGCTGGGTCCCCGGCGGGGGTGGTGCAGTCTCCTTGGAGTTCCTGTGTTCTGGGGCAGCGCCTGGATCTCTGGGACTTGGAGCTCCCTCCGTCTCCTACACATCGTTGGGGGGCAGATCTATGGTCCCTCACACTCTCTATTGGACGCTTTTATAGAGAAACCTTATAAACAAGCGCGTGTACACACACAGGTGTTCACATGGTTCTCTCAAAAGTATGGGCTTGGGCACGTTCAACACATGTCTTAAGGCTGTCGTTGCCACTAAATGCACTATGATTTATTATCATGTGATTGTTCAGTTAAACAATGTTGATTTTATATTTCATCATCAGGCTGACACAGTGATAGCTTGCTCTTGATGTATTGTTGTGTGCCCCATTTTTTTCTATTATTTCTCTTTCTGCAGGTCTAGAAGCAGACTCTTGTTCATTATTGCTTATTTTTGTGAATTTTTTCTCACTTATCTAATTCTGGGAAATCCAACAACAGAAAACATACTTTGGGGTGGAATATCCCTTTGATGAGTTTTTCCTTGCCTCATTTCCTTAAGATTGCAACTAAAGCTGGCTGAATTTTTTGTTACATCTATAGTGAACACAATTGATAGACAACAGCATAATTTTGGTGGCTGTAATCTTGTTGTGAAAACATACAAACAAAACAACTAATGGGATTTTGAAATGATCAATATTTAATTTAATATTTTACATAAAATTTCTTACAATTGTAAAGTCATATACTGGTACCATGTCAGTTTTTTTGATAAAATTCGGTAAACATTCATCAGTTTATATCGCCCACCAGGCAGATGTCAATTATTGTCATTTAGGCAGTAGGACTGGTACATTTGCTTAAATATTATTTTATTAATCTGAGATGATTTTTTATATACAATGTAGGCTTGGTTAAAGCACCCAATCTTTTTTATGAGATTATAATTAAAATATTTTCAAACATATTTTAGTGAGTGTTTACATACTGTATGCCTTTATAATAGCTCAAATAAAACATATTCTTAGAGCATTTTCTCTTTTATGGGGCATAGTGTTTATCTTTTGGTGATCTCACAAAGCATTGTTTTGGTAATGCACTCTGAATGAAGATTTGAGCAAGGTATTTGAAAATGTCCACTGAAAAACCACAGATGGAAAAATGTCAGAGGTATACCAAATTTATGACCTGGAGACATCTCAAGACTGGACAGGTCGTATCGGAGCTAATCTACGGGCTTCGGACACCGTGAGGTCGAGGTCCACTCGACTTCTGACTGTTTGGATCTGCTGGGGGTTTCCACGAGGGTAGTAGACAGAACAGATTGCGTCTGACGACTTTTATACATAACCAACGCTAGTTTATAACCAAAACAAATTCCCTCAGATGCAAAGAACGATTTTGCTAAAACATCTAGCTTCCATCACATCACTTCACCACATCTCATTATTCACATCTTGTCGTATAAATTATTAGTTTAGGAAAAATAATTAAATTCCCTTAATAAACTATATACCTGACTCTGTTTGAATTTATACAAAGTGTGTGTATGGTCCCAGAACAAGTAAAAGTAACTATAATCTTCTAAACATTCAAAGGTCATTCAGGTTGATATTTTATATTTATTTGGAATCATTACACCTTATTGGTCATTTTCAATAAAGTTAACTTGTAGCCTCTACTACACAAACATTTCATTTAAACATCTTGTTCAATCCACACATTATTCAAGCATACAGTATGAGTTGTAAGTCTTGTAGGACCTTTGAGTAAATAGCTAGGACTGCAGCAACCAGGTTCCTGCATCAAACCTTGGGAAAGAGCGTCTGTCTGAATGTTGTCTTCTTGTATGTAAACCAGTACTGAGCGGAACCTTCGGGATTTGGAGGCCAGATAGTGGATTTTTGTCTTCAAATCAAAGTCAATTAGATGGTTAAAATTGACCCTTTGGTACGTTAGTGTCTTTTTGCTAAGAAAACCCCCTGCCCTGCACAGCTCTGTGCTATGGGAAATGGCAACCAAACCTAACCAATAGAGTTAGACTACTGCTTACATTCTTTAAATTCAAGGATAACTTCGGCTGATGAAGAGTTGAACTTTTCATACAAGTATTTAAAATGTTAACCGAACACTTGCTAAAACTAACAGTTTTTAATTTATCCAGGGTGCCAATCAGGTTTCCCTCCTGACGTATAGGATTTTTAATCATAAAGTATAAAGCCGTCACACAAGTACATATGTTACCAGACATGTACCCTTGAATAAAATTACCCCATAAGAAAAAAAACCACAACCAATAAGTCAAATTGAAAGAGACAGTCTTGAATTGTTATTCTTCCTCAGTTCCATTTTATTTCTGTTCTTCATCCAGATTTTAGGACAGGCAAAACAGTTATTAAAAAAATGCAAAAAACAAAAGCTATAAACAATTGTTTACAAAGTTTTGTTTCCATTTACATTCATCCAAAAACAAAATTGACAGGGTGATTTTGAGAAACCAATTAGGACACAATGGTTTCACTATACAAAGTCAAGATTTCCCTGTTTATTAGTTTAGTAACGGTTTATCCCATCTGCAAAATTGGTTTCTCAAGTCTGGTTGGACTCACGTTTGTGGATCTGGTTGCAGGATGTGAGAATATCTTCAGTTGGCAGATAAATTAAAGCCTCATTCCTTTGAGATTCACACAATTGCAATTTCAATTTTCCCCCCTCCTTTTACAGGAATGTCCATGCACTTAAATCTGCTTTCAGTTAAAGATAAGAAGCACATCCTAGTGTTGATGACAGCAGTCAGTAATGAGTCAATGTGGTTTTTAGGTTTTGACTAAGATTACAGTTCACCCACTTGCACATGTAGATATTCTGAGAATGCAGTAGAAGTGCCTCAGCACGGCATGCAATGACCTGAAAAAAAATGTTTATGGTGCTCTGAAAGACTTACAGTGTTCTTAAGGGATTTCCGCCACATTTTCAGCGTTTTGTTTAAAGACAGTGATGCCGTTAAACCACACGCGCGCAAAGTGGGCGAATTGTGAACTGAGCCGCTTGTCATATCCTTCCATCTTTTAAGATCAGGTTCCTGCCATAGTGTGTTTAACCTTGTTGGATGGTAAAACTTTTTAAAGGGTCACATTGTTCACGTTTTCCAGCTTCTTCGCATGATACTACGGTTTGCAGAGAAATAGACTGAACAGTTCCTGAAGGCGGAGTGGAGTAGTGTGCATTGAATTGCAATCAGGGCAGAGGCCAAGAGAATGAGTTGTGAGGGAACCATGTAACAACCTGTGGCTGTCAGTGTTTGTCGGCTACAGAAACTAACTGAAGTCGCCATTTAAAATAAAGACCATTTGTGATACACTTGTCAGCTTGCCATTGGATTAGAGAAATACTGCAGCCCAATTCAAAACTTGTTCATTCACATGGGATTTTTAAGCATTTGGGGAAGCCAGAAAAGCTTAATAGCATTCATTCTGCCTTTTACTTTAACCCTTTGAGCATCAGATGAAAGTTTGGTCTATTGAAGCACCACTGTGATGAACAAAGCTAGCCAGGTCCAGGTCTGAGGTATTAACAACAAATCTCATTAAATAGTGACTTTTGCACTGCAGGGCAGAAGTTTTAAAACTGTCGTGTTCACTAGCGATGTAGTGGGCTTAGTGAGACTTAAGAATCTCACTCAGGCCAGAATGAGTTTAGTGGCTCTACTAGTTTTGCACATCTAAGACACATTTCTCCAACGCTGATTCTTAGCTTGAAGTTACATTGGCCAGACTACATTGTGTCCATCCTGAAGGGGAAAAGAAATACATATCAAAATCATGTTTACATTTGAAACCCCCCCCCCCCCCCCCCCCCCAATAAATAACTCAGTCAACTCACTTGCAAATTGGCAGGTGCTCACTCTGAAAATGACTCCATTCTGCCGGTCCGTGTCAGCCAAGTCAAGAGACCTTGAATGAACTGGGACATTATTTACTTCATGCAGTAGTACCTGCGAACCAGAGGGGAGAACTCAGGCTTTTGTTAAAAAGATGAGGTTAAATCTTTGTCAACATTTACCAGCGTAGATGAGCTGAAGTCACTTGTTGCAATGACCTGAATTGCTGACTTTTCTCCATAGTTGTACAGTACAATCACCACCTGAACATGTATACAAGACATCCCAGATTACAGGAGAACCCTTCATCAGAATTAAAGCAAATAAAAACTGAAACCTACATGAGTTCTCAGGGCTTCATCCTGCAGCTCAAGTTTAATCTTGCAGTGAGAGGTTTTGTTGAAGCTGGGTATAGCCTGGTTAATCACTGATCCAGGGTTGGTGTCCTCAAACAGAACCTCTGCAGAAACACGGTCATCCTGTGGGTCCACCAACGAGAGGCAGTGTGGACCAACTTCAGAGCAGATGGAGAACAGCGAATTGTTGAAGGACACCTGTGGAACACACAAATAAAACCCAATGCTTTACCACTAAGGTTCAGTTTCACTGCATTTTACTCACCCTCATCCGTGAACTCACGGTTCCACAAACGATCATGGGACACGTGTGGTGGTCAAACTCTCCAGAACCAATAACTACCACAGCCTCATGGAGATTAAACTGGCTGGCACAGACTGCAGCAGCAAAGAGACAACATGAGACTTGATGTTTTCATCCATCACAGCCTGCTATAAGACATGTTTGTTTTTACCTGCCAGTAACAGAACCAGAGCGTCCAGCTTCATCATGATGGAAACACTCAGACAGAAGCAAATGAACCACACACTGGCATGACCACAGCCCAGTTAAAGCTAAAGCATCTACCATGT